TGCAGTTGCCGACAACGCACCAGGCTTCCGGCGCACGTCGATTTTGCTCCAGGACCTGAGTTGCAAAGAGGCGACGAGGAAGGAGGGAAAGAAGTGAGTGAGTGAGTGAGTGAGGGAGGGAGGGAGGGAGGAGGGAGACCTACCTTCTGGGCGAGGAAGCAGAGGTCGACTTCAGCCTTAAGGTGCCAAAGGGCTGTAGAAAGAAGATCGAGTCCAGCGAGGCGGTAGGGCTGAACCTGAGGGAAGCGAAAGAGAGGGAGAGAAAGGAGGGAGGGAACGAAAGGGGAGGGTAACCACAAGCGGATAGGGCATCAGGCGCAGGGAAAGAAAAGGGGAGAGATAAGGGATATCCAGATTACTCGAGACGCCGAGTCGGGTCAGAATATAGAAAAGGGGTATTCAGACTACTCGAGACGCCGAGTTGTGCCAGAATATAGATAAGGGGTATTCAGACTACTCGAGACGCCGTGCTGGGTCAGAATATAGATAAGGGGTATTCAGATTACTCGAGACGCCGAGTTGGGCCAGAATATAGATAAATAGATGGCCATTGCCTCTCTCACGTCTTATGCCCTCTACCCTGTCCCAGCCTCCTTCTCCCGCCTTCCTCCCTCCCTGCTCCCCCTTCCCCCCGCCCTACCTGCTGCATGTCCTCCAGCGCCTTCTGTGCACGCGGGTAGTCGGCCATCTCAAAGAAAGCCTTGCCGAGCATGTGCTGCACCTGGTACAATGTACGGGAGGAGAGAACGAGGACGGAGGAAAGGAAGGATGAGATTTGCATCGAGTTCTGAGGCCGTCTCCTTCTCTTTTCCTCCGTCCGCCCTCGCCATATTGCCGTCCCTCCCTCCCTTCCTCCCGCCTTCCCTACCCATCCTGTGTAGAACTGACAGGGCGGCAGGCGCCTGAGAGCATCCACGCACTCTTGACACCGGTAAGAGGAGAGCAGGAGGAGGGTGCGGGCCAAGGAGGAGAGGAGGGGGAAGAGCTAAGGTGGGGGGGGGGGCGGTCAAGCGTGGAGAGGGATGAGAGAGGGGTGAAGGTC